TATTCCCTACTTATGTACGACTAAAAGATTTCAAATTTAACTCTTCTAGTGTAGTCTTTTTTGCGGGCCAGCACCTTTCCATTTGCCGTGTCACTGAAACCGACATCTACAGCTGACATACCACATAACTGCACAATTAACTTCTCGAACTTCGAGGGTTAGTATGTTGCAGGATCAGATACTCACAACTGACATACCACATAGTTGCACAATTTACTTCCGAACTCCGAGGGCCAGTATTTCACAGGGTTAGCTACACTTATTTCCTTGCGATCTTGCTACGGCACGAGAAGTGCAAAAACGCATAATCGCACCGGCCCGCCTGGTGCGTTCCAGCCTGGGTTTATGCGTTTTGTGCCACAATAGTTGAGACCCTGTCCGTGTGTCTTTGTGTATGTGTGTCTATCCGTGTGTGTTTCGAGTGCCTTTTATCCGGGGGTTTCAAACTGGGAACCAGAGAAGCTAAGAAGCTGAAATTTTAGTAGATTGTTCGCCGCCCACATGCGACCCCGCATACTTAAATTCAGTCTTCATGTAGTTCCGGGTACAACATGCCATGCCGCGAAAGTTTTGGCGAGGAGAATTACTATTTCGGAAACCACGAGAGCTAAAGGGCTGGAATTTTAGGGTAATTTCCCCTGCGTGTGTGTGAAACCGCAAATTTTGATTTCAGCCTTCCTGTTCGCTTGGGTACCACGTGTGGCCTCATAGAAGTATTGGCAGGGAAAATTACTATCTCGGGTGTGATAAGAGAGGGGAAGCTGAAAACTTCAGTAGGATGTTTTCTGCTCATGCAAGGACCTAACAAACTCAAATTTAACTCCCAAGTATGAGGAAGTCCCAAGTACGACCACGTGAAAGTTTCGGCGTGCAATGTGACTTGAAAGCTAGAGAACCAGGAGGTTGAAATTTTGGGACAGTGCTGGCTATATAAAGTTTCGGTTCAGCTTTCACGTGCGTTTGCGTTTCACGCACTGGTACGTGAAATTTTTTGAGAAATTTCACAGCTTAGGAAACAAGCAGTATATCCACTATTTTTTCACGGACCAAAGTGTAAAATAGTGAAAATTCTTAGAAAACACACTGCGCAAAACGCATGATCGCAGCGGATACGCTGACGCGCACCGCTATTTATTATGCGTTTTGCCGTACAGCTCTAGAGCGCTGC